GTTTCTTTCCCCTCGCCATCTCCCTCCTAAACAGTTGACCTGTCACTGCTCCCACTGCCAGACTGCAACTGCACCTTATGTACATTCTGTGGTTTCACTCCACCTCATTCATCTCTGTATTTCATGTATATAAGATTTGGTTATTTATGGTTGGTTTACACAGCTTTGTATATATATATATATATGTGTGTGTGTGTGTGTGTGTGTGTGTGTGTGTGTGTGTGTGTGTGTAGATAGAGTTAAACAACTCCTTGGTGGCTGACCCTGGATGAGGTCCTTGAGTTTCTGGAGACCCTGGGTGCCTCTACAAAGCTGCGCAGAGATCAGGGGCAGCACTCAGCATTTCAATTATGAGTTTAAAGGCTGTAAACGTGTGAAGAGCACATTGTTTACTAACAATGGTAGCTAGCATCGGTAGGACCACCAAATGCCCTCTATAGGAAGTTGATTTCAGCTCTGATTAAAGAAAAAGAAGCCTTTACCCTGTGAGTCTTACTCACAAATCATCAAATCTTCCATCATTTCAATAAATGTTCATCTTGCAGAAGACAAAAAGGAAGAGCCCCAAATCTCTTTTACAGCCCACTTTTGTACTTGCTCCCCTTTGTCTCCTTCTGTCACTGGATAGCACATCAACCAGTGTCCATCTCTGTTTATCTGACTTACATGATTTAGTACAAAGTTTAAACATTGAAACTTTAAAATCACTTCTTTACATTTTCTCTGTTAAAAACAGAATTCTCTTTCACGTCCCATTTATGGATATAATTCACTTCATGTCTTTGGCACATTTTCACATGAACATTTATTGTAAAATAATCCTATTTACTTCAAATACAGTGCAATTCTTACTTCTCCCTTTTAAAACTCTGGAGACAAGCCGAGGCCCCTCAACTCTGGACCTGGGCCCGCTGAAGGTTGCCAGGGATTGGCAGATGCAAGCGGACTTGGATCAGAGGCTAATTTTTCCACAGTGTTTGTAACAACTACTCTGTGACCGGACCTCGTCCTTTGGTCATTGAGCTGATGGTACCATGGGAGGAAGCAATTGAGGAGGCGTTTGAGCGTAAGAAGCTGCGGTATGCCAAGTTGGCAGCTGAGGCAGAGGACAGAGGCTGGAAGATCAAGCTGCGCCCGGTGGAGGTGGGGTGCAGGGGCTTTGTTGGCAGCACAACAGCAAAGCTGCTCAGAGAGACTGGGATCAGAGGACAGGCACAACGCAGGCTATAAGATAGATAAGATAACTCTTTATTGTCATTGCACAGTCATACATAGTACAATAGTACAATGAAATTGGAAAACAGTCCTACGTCAGCACTACATGTAACACAACACGACACGATACGACACATCACAACGCAACACAAACAACACAGTATAATAACTTAGTAATAAAAAAGAAGAATAAGTGTATTTGTATTGCACACTGTTATTATTGCACATTAATTATTATTGCACCTTGTTATAAATATAAATATTATTATTGTTATTGTTTCAAACATTGTTACCTCCCCCCTAAAAAAGTCCAGGGAGGTAGCCAATCAGGTCAGCTGTTTGCATTGATCAGGGCTGTTGTGAATTAGAGAGCTAGCTAACAGTGCTGAGAGGACCAGTCACTGGCTGTGGCTAAAAAGGGCTGACATCACTTGGGCAGCTACGGCAGTCAGCTAACCGCGATACACCCAGGATTGATGGACCCGTGGTGGGCCTGCCTCAGCAGGGGGCGTCAAAGGGTGAAACATAACATTAGAAGTTTTCTGGTTGACTGCTACAGCCGTCTCAGCGCCTCCTGGGACTGTGCAGTCAGGCTGCATAAATGTTAAAGAGGTAGGTGTTTCTCAGTTGCAGTGAATAGATAGTATAAACTGTAGGAAACTAAACAGGAGAAAGAAGAAGAGGAAAACAATTTAACATAAACCACTGATGCACTCCAGGCCTGATCAACCCTGCAGGGCCTCCTTGGATGAGGGTGTCCAGTGATAATGGCCGAAACACCCGATGAATCCAAGGTCCACTGCTGACGATGTGTCCCACATTTTAATAATTTAGATCAGATCTCTAATCCATAAACCTGACAGAGGAAAAATGGCAGATCAGCCTGGGTAAAAGACCGATGTGTGCTGCTGGTAAAGTTTCTGGGCTTTCCTCATAACAGCCGTCCCCCAAGATTTTCTCAATTAAAGCAAAGCATTGTCAGGGACTGTAACATCTGGTCCTTTTACTGAATGTGTTTGTCAATTTCCATTTATTTGTATTTATTTTATGCAACTTCTTGCATTAAGTCATTTTAAAAGTCAGACATTTGGAGGTTAGTGGCTCCAGTCCAGCTCCACACACACCTGGATACACCGAGGTCAGGCTCTCCGTGAGGCCTGTCACTATCATTATCACTATTATACTACACTATTATACTGCTACTGTATACTACATCATACTGG